GCCCCTGCGGCTCTGCGGGGCGAGCGAGCCTGAGGCCCGTGGCCGCGCGGGGCCGGGGCGGCCCCTCTGCCGGCCCGCTCTCTGCTCCAAGCCCGGGCTGAGGCTGGCATGAGCCGGGCCGAGCCCCCGGCCCGCGGAACCCCCGGCCCGGGGAACACCCAGCCCCCGGAGCTGCAGCCCCGAGGCGCTGGCGGAGGGCTGTGCGGAGTGCCCGGCGCTGTGCCCAGAGGGGCTGCGCTGGCTGCCTCAGCAGGCCGCCCCCGAGCCCACAGCGAGCCGGGGCATGCGCCTGTGAAGGGCTGTGGGGCATGGAGATGGGCTGGCTGCTGGGCACGGCTCCGGGCTCCAGCCCTGGGTGCTGGGCACGGCTCCTGGCCTCAGCCCTGGGTGCTGGGCACGGCTCCTGGCCTCAGCCCTGGGTGCTGGGCACGGCTCCTGGCCCCGGCCCTGGGTGCTGGGCACGGCTCCTGGCCTCAGCCCTGGGTGCTGGGCACGGCTCCTGGCCCCAGCCCACAGCCTGCCCCGGCTGCGCTGCGCTGTGGCACCCGCTGGTGCCGGGTTTGGCTGGGCTCAGCCCTGCCCGCCGGAGCGTGTTCCCAAAGCCAGGCCCTTCCCCAGCAGCCTTTCCCCTAAAACTGCCTCCTCGCCCTGCTTTTCCCCTAAAACTGCCTCCTCGCCCTGCTCCTCCCTGCCGGAGGTTCTCCCCTCGCTGCCCCGGCCGTGCCGCCCCGCCGGCCGGCAGACACGAGGTTAAGGGGGCGAGAGCTGCGGGTTCCTGCCCTGGCGCTTCGGAGGAAGCTTTCCTCCCTTCGGAGCCGAGAGCGCGCAGCCGGGGCGGACAGCCGGGGCGGACAGGAGCGCAGACGGGCAGCAGCACGGGCAGGGCGACCCGCGGGGCGCAGGAGCGGCAGCAGGGCGGGCGGACCCCGGCTGCCCCGGCGGAGCGAAGGAAGGTGAGCGGGCGCGCTGCCGCTGCGGAGGCTCGGGGGGTGCACAGCCCGAGCGGGGGCTCCGCGGCGTGCGCTGGGGTGGACCAGCGGGGAGAGGGGCTGCGGGGGCTGTGGGGTGTGGGGCTCGCAGTGGGGTTCACACACATGGGGGTTATGGGGCTCGTATGCAATGCGGAGCTTGGGGGGTCTGCGGGGGTGCATGACGGTGTGGAGGGCTCTGGGGGGTGTCAGGCTGTGGGGTGTGTGAGGCCAGAGCCCCAAGGGACCCATGTGCCCAGGGGGGTGACGCCCAACATCTGTGCCGCTTGTGGGAGATGTGTGTGCTGCTGGCTGGGCTCCAGAGAGGGTCTTCTGGGGGTGGGGACAGAGTCCTGCAGGCTGGGGAAGTCGGGGTGTGGGTGCTGTGTCTGCTGCCCCCCGCTCACTCCATCCAGCCCCTCCCAAGGTAAGCCAGTGCGGGATGCCTGCGTGCTGTGCCCGAGGGGCTGTGGGGAGGGCCAAGGGGTGTGCACAGTGCCTGGCACCCTCCCAGCCACCTGTGTGCCCTTGGGCCTCTGGGGCACTGTCCCCAAAGCCTTTGGCCAGAGCCAGGGTGGGGATGGGACTGAGAGAGCCAGCAGTCACCTCTGGGCTTGGGGGATGGCTGTGCCTAACAGGGAGTGCCAGGGACAGCAGCAGCATCCAGAGTGATTCGTGTCAGGCACAGCGGCCCCGGCAGGTGCAGCTGGGTGCTGTCAGGGACAGGGCAAGGACTCCCTGAGGACACCACTCACTCATCCTGGTTTGCCCTTTGCCCCAGCTGTGGCTCCTGGCAACACCTGCCCATATCTCCCTATGGAGAGATTGATTAGATCCTGAGAACAGGACTTCCTATTTTTTCCCAGAGTGTGACAGGATGTGTCATCCCCACCCTGGGTGGGGACCTCACCTGTGCCCACTGGGGCTGGGCTCACAAGGACGGAGTTTGACCCCGCTGCCTCCAGGTACCTGACCCTGGACTTTGAGAGGGCTGTGGGCAGAGGAGTCCCTCCCAAGTGTCCCTCCCCACATTCCCCCACCGCTGCCAGGCCCCTGTGCTGCACCACGCTGCCCTGCTTTCCCTGGGTGGGGCAGCCTGTGAGCTGTGCCCCCCGCACGCCGGGGCGGCCTGGACCCTCTGGCAGTGTCACTCGAGGGTGAATGGGGTGACACTGAGTCTGCATCTGAGCTTGGCTGATGGGGACACACGCTGGGCCCCGCAGCATGGTGGGGATGTGGCTGCTGGCTGCGACCACCCGCTCTGTCCCTCCCTGTGCAGGGCCAGGCCAGCGCTGGGGCAGGACGCCGGGGTCAGGCACACAGCCCGCTCACGCTCCCCGATGGTGCCACCCCCCACTGCCAGCTCTGCCCCTGCAGCAGCGGCGCCGGGCGTTGCTGCTCCCGCCAGCCTGGGGGGCGGGCGGGTGGAAAGCTCATCCCAGGGTCTGTCGCCGCCCTGAACCCCATGCCCATTTAATCCTTCACCCATTAACTTGGGCTAATAAACCTCGTGGGAGCGAGAGGCTAAAAGCCGTGCTTGCATCAGCGCCGTCTCTGCCAGTGCCGCTCCTGCTGCCCGCCATGGCAGGCGGCTTCTTCATCAGCAAGACCGTGGGCATCGTGGCCATCGTGCTGGGCCTGGGGGCTGTGGCCACCATCATTGCACTCTCGGTGGTGTACGCCCAGGAAAAGAACAAGGGGACATCAGATGTGGGCAGCAGCACCACGGCCAGCCCCAACATCACCACCACCACCACCCCTGCCCCCAACAACCCCTGGAACCGGTGGAGGTTGCCGGCCTCGCTGAAGCCAGAGTTCTACGAGGTGTCCCTGCAGCCCTTCCTGAAGCCCGATGCCAACAACATGTACATCTTCAAGGGCAACAGCAGCGTGGTCTTCTTGTGTGAGGAAGCCACCAACCTCATCCTCATCCACAGCAAGAAACTGAACTACACCATGCAGGGCTCCTTCCATGCCACCTTGCAGGCAGAGGGTGGTGGCAGTGCCCCTGCCATCTCCAGCACCTGGCTGGAGGATACCACCCAGTACCTGGTGGTGCAGCTGGCTGCTCCCCTGCAGCAGGGCCAGCGGTACCGGCTGTTCAGCAGCTTCACCGGGGAGCTGGCCGATGACCTGGCTGGCTTCTATCGCAGCGAATACACGGACGAGTCGAACACCAAGTAGGTGGAAGGCAGGGGACGCGGTGGAAGCCACAGGGCTGGCCCAGTGTGGTGGTGGGAAGGGGAATGGGGGCACGGGGCTGGCACAGGGCAGTGGAGGGCATGGGCTGGCTTTGGGGCTCCTCTCCCACCAGGACCATGGGATGGGTGTGTGGAGCCTCTGTGCCCCCCTTGCATCCTCATGCTGCCCCAGTGGCGATGGGAGAAGGGGGACTGGGGGGTGCAGCCTCCACAGGGACCCCCAGGACTGATGGGGCTGGCTCACAGGCAGGTGGTGGCCACCACTCAGATGCAGGCGGCTGATGCACGCAAAGCTTTCCCCTGCTTCGACGAGCCGGCCATGAAAGCCAACTTCACAGTGACACTGATCCACCCCTCCGGCTACGGGGCCATTTCCAACATGCCTGCCAAAAGTGAGTGGGGCGGGAGGACCCCACTGGGGGGCTGGGGGTCTGGCAGGGCTGTGGGGTGATTCTGTGATCTCCACAGACACCAGGGACCAGGAGATTGATGGAGAAATCTGGCATGTCACTGAGTTTTACACCACTCCCCGGATGTCCACGTACCTTCTGGCCTTCATTGTCAGCCAGTTCACCAATGTGGAGAGAAACTCGAATGGAACACTGGTAGGATGGGGTGGGGTGCACCCCCTGCCCACCTGGGTGGCTGAGCCTGGGCCACTGATGAGTCCTGCATCCCTCGTCTCCAGATTCGCATCTGGGGCCGCCCCAAAGCCATCGCTGAGGGCCAGGGCGACTACGCACTCAATGTCACTGGCCCCATCCTCAGCTTCTTTGAGAAGCATTACAACACGTCCTACCCGCTCCCGAAGTCTGGTGGGTGCTGCGGGGCGCCCGGGACCCTGGGTTGAGGTGCCCAGGCAGGGGGCAAGATGGTCCAGTGTGCTGTCAGCAGGGCACTGACCGGAGCCCTCCGCCCCCAGACCAGGTTGGCCTCCCCGATTTCAATGCGGGCGCGATGGAGAACTGGGGGCTGGTGACCTACCGGGAGAACTCGCTGCTCTTTGATGCTAGCTACTCGTCCATCGGCAACAAGGAGCGGGTGGTGACCGTCATCGCCCACGAGCTGGCACACCAGGTACCTGCTGCGCCCCTCGCCCCCTGCCCCGACTGACGGCTGGCGGCTGAGGGAGTGCCGTGCCCTCTGCAGTGGTTTGGGAATTTGGTGACGCTGCGGTGGTGGAACGACCTGTGGCTGAACGAGGGCTTCGCCTCGTACGTGGAGTACCTGGGTGCCGACTCTGCTGAGCCCACCTGGAACATTGTGAGTGCCAGGGACGAGGGGCGTGGGGGCAGGCAGGGGAACGGGCACCCCGGGGCTGCCCCGGTGGCGGGCGGTACGCACAGGGCTCAGGCGGGTGCCGGTGCCCCCTCTGCAGAAAGACCTGATGGTGCTGAACGAGCTGCATGCGGTGATGGCCACAGACGCCCTGGCCAGCTCCCACCCGCTCTCCTTCCGTGAGGATGAGATCAACACCCCAGCCCAGATCAGTGAAGTCTTCGACACCATTGCCTACAGCAAGGTGTGCACGGGCGTCCCTGGGTGGGGATGGACTCTGGGGTGTCCCTGCCTTCTCTGACCTGCTGTCCCTGCAGGGAGCATCGGTGCTGCGGATGCTCTCGAGCTTCCTTAGTGAGGACATCTTCAAGGAGGGGCTGCAGGTGAGGTGCTGCTGGTACTGGGGGCAGCGAGCCCAGTGCAGGGTGGGCATCCCATGGTAGAGACCTTCCCAGCTGCTCTAGGGGGGTCCCACACCCCAGATCTGTCCTTGCTCACCCGTCTCTCCTGGTGCTCTCCCACAGTCCTACCTCCACACCTTCTCCTACAGCAACACCATCTACGCTGACCTCTGGGTCCATCTGCAACAGGTAGGAGGGGGCTGGTGCTCCTGCAGCATCCCCGGCCCTGGCTCTGGGGGCTGCCTGGTGTGGCGGGGTCCCACATGCTGGGTGAGGGTTGCAGCGCTGGCCAAGCCCCACGCTGGCCGTGCCCCTGGCCCTGGTGACTGGTGGCACTGCCATCCCCGCAGGCAGTGGACAAGAACAGCGTCAAACTGCCTGAAAGTATCAGCAACATCATGGACCGCTGGACGCTGCAGATGGGCTTCCCTGTGGTCACTGTTGACACTCGCAGTGGCACCGTCAGCCAGGCCCATTTTCTGCTGGACTCCACATCTTCTGTGGACAGACCCTCTGTTTTCAAGTGAGTGTGGTGGGGCTGGCTGGGAACTGTGGGGTCAGGGGATGAAGGCCAGTCCCACACCTGTCTGTCCACGGCGCAGCTACACCTGGATTGTCCCCATCACCTGGATGACAGGCAGTGGCCAGGGGAGCAACACCTACTGGCTGACCAAAGTCACAGGTATGGCATGTCCTGGCCATGAGTGGGGCTCTCGCTGTCACTTCCACTGCCATGGCACTGGTCGGGGTTCCCAGGGAGGCAGTGGTGGTGGGGGCTGAGCCTGGTCCTCCCTGGCGGGTGGGGGTGCAGCTCTGGCAGAGCCTCCTGTCCCTTTCCCAGACACCTACACCGACTTCAGGGTCAACACCCCCAACTGGCTCCTGCTGAACCTCAATGTCACCGGGTACTTCCGTGTCAATTACAACCAGGAGAACTGGGATCAGCTCCTCAAGCAGCTTGACACTAACCACATGGTACATGGGGTGCTCAGGGCTGTGGTGGGGGACTCCATTCACACCACCCCACTCAGGCTGCCCTGAGACACTGACTTTGCTCTCTCAGGTCTTCCCTGTGATCAACCGTGCCCAGATCATTGATGACGCCTTTAACCTGGCCAGGTGAGCCCTGCCTGGTGGTCTGGGTGCCACTGGGGTGAGGGGCTGGGTGGGGTGGGTGCCCTGGGGTGGGCAGTGCCAGTGGGGCTCGAGAGGTGACGCTGCCCTCACCCCTGACAGGGCCAAGTACATCAGTGTGACCTTGGCTCTGAACACGACACGGTTCCTGAGCCAGGAGACGGAGTACATGCCCTGGCAGGCAGCACTCTCCAACCTCAAGTACTTCCAGCAGATGTTTGACCGCAGCGAGGTCTTTGGGGCCATGTCGGTGAGTGGTGCCAGCCCCCCGTGCTGGGTGTGAGGGGCCAGGATTGCCCCCACGGTGGTGTGGGGGCTGCTGGCAGTGTCGCTGGGCACTGACTCCCTCTTGCCCCCAGAAATACATAAAGAAGCAGGTGACCCCTCTCTTTGAGTACTACCAGAAGATCACCAATAACTGGGAAAATATCCCCAGTAACTACCCACTGATGGTCCAGTGAGTACCGTGGCCCTGGGGCTGGGCTGGGTCCCTGGGGTCTCCCTGACTGCCCCCAGCTGGCACTGGCCCGTGGGTGCCCTGTGCCGGACCCCAGCCCTCCCGGCCTCTCTCCCCCAGGTACAACGAGGCCAATGCCATCAGCACCGCCTGCTCCTTCGGTGTCACTGCTTGCCAGAATTTGGCCATCAACTACTTGCGCCGGTGGCAGAATAGCACCACCAACCCGTGAGTCCTCGGAAGCCCTGGTGCTGTGTGTGCTCGGGATGGGCACGGCCAGGGGCTCCTGGCACTGACAGCTCTTACCCCAACAGGGTCCCCCCGAACCTGCGCTCAGCCATCTACTGCAGCATGGTGGCCACGGGCGGGGAGGATGCCTGGGATTTCCTCTGGGAGAAGTTCAAGGAGGCCCACGTGGTGTCTGAGGCTGACAAGCTCCGCACAGCCCTCTCCTGCAGCCCGCACCCCTGGATCCTCAACCGGTGCGTGTGGGGTCTGGCTGGCACTGCGGTGTGTCCCACCAGCCCATCACCCTCCTCATGCCCGCTGCCCCTGCCAGCCCCTCACCCCCTCGTCGTGCCCCTCCAGGTACCTGCAGTACACGCTCGACCCTACAAAGATCCGGAAGCAGGATGCCACCTCCACCATCAACAGCATTGCCAGCAACGTCGTGGGGCAGCCCCTGGCCTGGGACTTCATCCGTGGCAACTGGAGAACGCTCTTCACCCAGTGAGCACCGCGGGGTCCGGGGGCACCCTGCCTGCCTGCGCCCCTGGAGGGTGGCACTGTCCCTTCCCCTGTCCCCTGTCCCCTGTCCCCTTGGCTCAGCACACTTCTGCTCTCCCAGGTACGGGGGCGGCTCCTTCTCCTTCTCCCGCCTGATTTTAGCTGTGACCCAGCGCTTCTCCTCAGAGTTTGAGCTGCAACAGGTGAGGCTGGACCCTGGCAGCAGCCGGGGGACCAGGGACCCCAGCCTTGGCAGAGCTGCCCTTTGCCAGCAGCCCTTGAGAGGGCATTTCCTGCCCCTTGTGTGCCCAGGGGTGCAGGAGGCTTCTGTCCTTGTCACAGGCTGCTGGGTGCCTGCTGGGGTGAATGGCAGGGATGCCCAAGGGCTGTCAGAGTGCTCCTGGGGGCTGCTGGGGTGCTGCATGGGCTGCTGGAGGCTGTTGGGGTGCTCCTGGAGGCTGCTGAGATGGTGCTGGGGGCTCTCAGGGTGCTGTTGGGGCTCATGTCAGGATAATGTTGGGTGGTGTTGGGGGCTGCTGGAGTGGTGCTGGGGGCTCACAGAGGCTATTGGGGTGCTCCTGGGGGCTGTTGGTGTCCTGCCAGGCAGCAGCTGAGAGATGCTGGGGTGGTGCTGGAGTGCTCCCAGGGGCTGTCAGGGGCTGGAGTGCTCCCAGGGGTGTTCCTGGGGGGTGTCAGTGGTGCTGGGAGCTGCTGGGATCTGCCCTGCCTGCTCCAGCCCCGTCTCTGCCTGGCAGCTGGAGCAGTTCAAGAAGGACAACCAGGACATCGGGTTTGGGTCGGGGACGCGGGCGCTGGAGCAGGCGCTGGAGCAGACCCGCGCTAACATCAAGTGGGTGGAGGAGAACCGGGCCGCGGTGCTGACCTGGTTTGAGAGCGAGAGCAAGAGCGGATAACGGGCGCCTGCGCTTCCCCGGCCACCGGGACGGACCCTCGGCAGACCCCCTCCCTCCATCCCCCCGCCCTGCCACGGAGGGGCTGACGCCTGCATGATGGGCACTGCGGACTCGGGGGGCTTGGCAGGGGGAGTCGGGCTGGTGCGCTCTGGGCTGTAAATAAATACCTGGTTTCCAGAGCCACCCTGCGGGCCGGGCCGTGCTGCGGGGACTCTGGCAGACTGGGTGGGAAGCGCCAGGGGCCCTGCGGGCCCGGGGCAGGCCCGGGGCAGGCCCGGAGAGGCCAGCCCCCCGGCTGTTAGGAGCCTGGTGCTAAGTGGCTCTGGGGGCTTCGCTGACGCCAGCCCGCAGCCCCTCTGTCTGACAGCTGCGTGTGAGCTCTCCTGCTGGGCCCTGCTCAGGGGGACTGGCACCAGGACCCCTCTGCCTGCGCTGCCCTGGGCAGGTGCTGCGGGCTCGGGCAGGGCCAGGCTGTGACAGGTAGGAGGGACTGTCCCTCAGGGGCCACCCTGTGTCCTGCAGGGCCAGAGCTGCCTTTGGGCTCAGGGAAGGGAGGGGACCCCAGGCAGGTGGGAGCTGGGGGTCAGTGGGGCTGGGGACAGCCTCGGTGGTGAGTCCCTCTGCCACCTCAGCCCGGGGACACGTCTGGGCCGTGGGTTGGGCTGGCAGTGGGCACCGAGCCGCTGGCCCGGGGCAGCACCTGGCAGTGTGTGTGGGGTGCCAGGCTGAAGGGTGCACCTGGGGTGCAGCCAGCAGGTCCCGCAGTCAGGAATAGGGGAGCAGCTCTGCAGAGTGGCTTTAGTGAGATCCTGGTGTCTGTCCCAACCTGTGCAGCTTTGTGTCATGGCTGTGCCACCGACCCATGGCCATGCCACTGTCCCACTGCCCCACTGCCATGCCACCATGCCTGTGTGGGCTCTGTGTCCAGGGGTGCAGGCAGCTCCAGCCCCACAGCTGCTGGGGTGCAGCTGGGCAGGAGAGAAGCTGTGGCAGGAGCTGGGAAGATGAGGGTGGCTGGGGCCCAGGGACTGCTGAGCCATGTGGGACGAGCTGTGTGAAGTGAGTGGCTGTGGGACACCCCACCTTGCATCCCCTGCCACCCACCCCATGAGGACCATCCTCCACCCCAGCCCAGTGACTGCAGGGGCTGGGCAGGGCAGGGTCTTTGGGTACCTGGTGATGTGTGGCAGCTGGAACCCAGATGCAGGAATCCTGTAGTGCCCTGTGGCCATCAGTCCTGCCCTGGGGGGCTCCCAGCAGCAACAGGAAGGTGCCCTATTAGCCGTGGCTGTGGCACATCTGTGGGGAGGCTCCAGGGCGGTGTGGCTGGGAATCCTCTGAAGCTCTGGGGGGATCCCTGCAGCAGGGGTGTAGGGGATGACTCTATATCCAGCTCCGGACCCCCAAGCACCTGTGGGGCAGTGCCCGCAGCAGGGCTGCAGAGAGGCGACCCCCAGGCACCCGTCCCCATGCCGGGAGCCCCGTGCAGCTCCGGGGGCGTCCCCGCCACGGCAGGTGACCCCCAGCCCGCGGCGCCGGGCGGCGAAGCATCGCGGGGCTCCGTGTCCTGGCAGGACCTGGGGACACAGGGGACAGTGTCGGGGGGCCGGCGCCCCCCGGCCGAGCCCCAGCAGGGCGGAGAGGTGGGCGATGTAGCGGGTGGTGAGGTGCAGGGTCGCGATCCTGGTGAGGGCAGGCAGTGCCGCAGCTTCTCTGCGGGACCCCCGCTCCCCCGCCGCCCCGCAGCCCCTTCCTGCCCCGGGGGGACGCAGGGGGACTCTGCCGAAGGAGCTGGGGGTGCGGGCTGTGTCTGGCCCTGGCTGGGCACTGTTCTGCGGGCCCCGTCTGGGGGTAACCCCGGCTTTATTTGGGCCGGGGGTGCGGGGCGATGCCTCTGCGCCCTCCTGGAGGTATCGAGCTCCCCCAGCCTCGCCCCGCTCCGGGCGGGCGGCAGGAGCCTGGGAATGCCGGGCCCATTTGCAGAGGTGTCAGATCTGACTCCTTCGGTCCTTAATTGGCCCTGCCGGCGCTGGGAAGTGTGTGGGGACCCATTCACACGGCCGTGAGAGATGCTAACGTGCCGCCAGCCCCGCAGCACCGTACCGAATCGCCCCGCACCGCACCTCCCCGCACGGCCGCCCTGCCCGCTGCAGCCCGGCCCGGGACTTGACCTTCCAATGCCGGACCCCGAGCCGCCAGCCCTGGCACCCGGCAGAGTCCCCTGGGCAGCTCCCTGCCCTCTGCCCTGCTGCCAGCCCCGGCTCCGGGCGCTGTGTGAGCTCTGGCTCAGGCTGACGGCCCTAAGGGGCAGGGGGTGGGCGGCCGGGGGGCTCCCTTCCCAGAGACATCCCGGCACTGGCCGTGCTGCTCTTGGCCCCGCAGTCCGAAGGGATGCAGCCCCGGACTGCTCCAGACAAACTGAGCCATCTGGGGACCCACCAGGCTGTGCCCCTGCTCCGTCTGGGGGTCCCTGTGCTGCTGCGGGCGGGGGTCCCCAGGGCACGGGGGTGCACCGTGCTGGGTGATGAAGTCTTGAGGGTGCCGGGGACAGGGGACCCTCTGTGCAGATGGGCTGAGGGAGAGCGGGGCCGAGGGGGCTGTTTGCCAGGAGCTTGGCAGCACTGACCCCTGCACCAGACACAGCCCCAGGCAGTGTCCCAGTGTCCCTGTGAGCGCTGCCTGTCCCAGACAGAGGGACAAGCGTGACCCCCAGAAACCACACAGGGTCTGATCTGGGATGGCGGGTCCCCAGTGGGCAGGGAGGTGTCCCAGGAGGGTCCCAGCAGGGCAGGAGGGCTGGGGCTCCCGGGCTGGGCACTGGCTGAGCTCTGTCGTGGTGCCCTGGCCGTGCTGCCCCATGGCCCTGCACCCTACTCCTCTGACAGGGATGGGGGAGCCCACCCTGCTCCCGGGGTGAGGGGCTGCAGGGTGTCCTGCTGTCACCAAAAGTTGGGAATCAAACCCTCTAACACTGTATTTCAGTATTAGAAAGTGGCATTGCTTTATTTCAGTGCTGGGTGTGCAGAGCATGTCTCCTGCTACCTATACCACAGCTGGCTAACAGACTAGATTAAATCTTTGTAAGTTATTAATTACATTTCCCAAAACTCATACAAGTATGCTAAACAGTCCCACAAATTCTTTTGCATATTTATGTCACTTTGTGGAGCTTATTCATAAGAGTAGGGATGTATCAGGGTCTCTGGTGCTCATTTGGAGAACACCCTATTCCTCAAATTATCTGGTTTTGGTCATAGGCCAAAACCAAAAAATTTTCTTCTCTTTGAATACATGCCAGCTCTGTGGTCTGGATACATCTTCTTACCAGTGTTGGTCAGGCCCACAGTCTTTAAGGCTAAGATAACCACTTGCACACATTAATACAGGACTAAGCACTTCTGGCTGAAGCTAAAGGAATTCACAAGACTTAAACACTCTTTGTCAGAATTAAAGATTTTCCCAACCCTGCGGGGGCTCTGACCCCACGGCCGGCGCTGCCCCGGCCCAGCCGCGCTCCAGCACTTGTCCAAACAGGGAGGTGGGAAGCGGCTGCGGCGGGTGCAGAACTCATTACCCGGGAGCTCATCAGCTAATGCGGCCCAGGAGGGGGCCGGCAGCGGGGAGGGGGCCGTGCCTGGCCGGGCCGTGGGGTGCAGGTCTCCCCTCAGACCCCGCTGCGCCCCCAGACTGGGCTGGATGTTGGAACAGGGCTGGCCCTGGTGGCTCGGATGGGCTGGGTCAGTGAGGGCACTGCTCACACGTGCACACACGGTTTGGGGGTCCTGTGTCCCCGGCTGTATCCCCTCAGTTGTGCCCCCGGCTCTGGGGGGATCCTGTGCCCCTCATGTTCCCAGGGCTCCGCACACCCCGTTTGGGGGGCCCTGCACCCCGCAGTACCAGCGGGCTGTGCACGCCCAGTTCGGGGGTCCTGTGCCCCCAGATGTACCCCAGACCAGGCTGTGCACACCAGCGCTGGGGCCCGTGCCGTGCCGTGCCCGTGTCCCCTTGCTCCCTGATGGATTTTCCGTCCCTCGGCGGGGCCGTTTCCAGGGAAACCTTCACACCCGCCGGCCCCGACACCTGCGGGGCCTGGGAACGCGGCGGGGGGGCTCCTCCCAGCCCGGCCCGGCCCTGCACACCCGCGGCCCGAGGGGGCTCCCCCGCCGCTGCGGCACCGGGCAGCCCGAGGGGTCCCTCAGGCACCCGGCACCCCCAAACCGGGCGAGGGGTGTCCCACAAAGCCACAGGGGCAGCTCCCTGTGCTGCACGGGGAGACGCAGGGACACGCCACCGCAGACCCACTGCAAAGCCCACTGAAGCCCCATGCGAGCCCCAAAACGCCCCCAGGGCGCCCCGCTGCAGACCGTGCTGCAGCCCCGCTGCGGCTCCCGCAGCAGAGCTGCCGAGACCCCGCTGCAGCTCCCGGGAGGGTCCCGGCCCCGGCCCCCGCCCCGCTCGGGAGCGAGGGGCAGCACCGAGCAGCTTCACACCTCTGGGGTGAAATTCGTCACCCCGCGTTCACAGCCGCGGCCCGGGCCCCCCCCGGGACCCCCGGCCTTTGAAGTGCTGCAGCCGCGAAGGTGCCTCTTCACACCTCCGGGCCGGCATAAAGCCGGGGCGCTGGGAGCCGCGGCACACCGGTGCCAGCCTCCGGCCCCGCCATGGCCCACGGCCGCACGCTGCCCGCCGCCGCCCCGCCGCCGCACCGGGCTGAGCGCGGAGCCCCGGACCCGCTGGGCTACAGCAGCAGCTCCCCCGCGGCATCGCCCGACTCCTGCGGCCTCGCGTCCCCCGCCGCGGCTCGGGGGCCCTGCCGCGGGCACGCCGCCCCCCGCCCCAGGGGCAGGAAGGGGCTGCGGGCCGGCGGGGGAGCGGGGGTCCCGCGGCAGAGCGCCAGCGAGCGGGAGAAGCTGCGGATGCGGCGGCTGGCGCAGGCCCTGCTGCGGCTGCGGCACTACCTGCCGCCCGCGCTGGCGCCCGCCGGGCAGACCCTCACCAAGATCGAGACGCTGCGCCTCGCCACCCGCTACATCGCCCACCTCTCCGCCCTGCTGGGGCTCGGCCGGGGGGCGCCGGCCCCCCGACACTGTCCCCTGTGTCCCCGGGGCCTGGGGTGCTGCCAGGACACGGAGCCCCGCGATGCTTCGCCGCCCGGTGCCGCGGGCTGGGGGTCACCTGCCGTGGCGGGGATGCCCCCGGAGCTGCACGGGGCTCCCGGCATGGGGACGAGTGCCTGGGGGTCGCCTCTCTGCAGCCCTGCTGCGGGCACTGCCCCACAGGTGCTTGGGGGTCCGGAGCTGGCATTAGAGACCTGGGGGTCACCCCCCTACACCCCTGCTGCAGGGACCCTCCCAGATGCACTTGGGGGTCCCAACATCGGAATGGAAACCTGGGGGTCTCCCTCCTACATCCCTGCAACCGGGACCCCTCCAGAGGTTCTTGGGGTTCCCAACATCCAGACGGAGACCTGGGGGCCAACCCCCTACATGGCTGCAGTGGGGACCTCCTCAGAGCTGAACAAGGCTGTCACCTCCCCTGCGTCACCCTGGCTGACCCCTCCCCACTCTGCAGGGGCTGGGGCCCCCCCGGATCTCCCTGGTGATGTCCTGGACACGGGACTGGTGCTGTCAGAGTTCGTGGGCACAGGGACAGTCACCCAGGTACGTGCTGGTGGGGTTTGGGTGACTCTCAGCATGGGGAATGTGTGGGGCAGGGATCAACCCCCCCTGGGGTGGCCTCAGAGTCCTCTTGGTGTGGGGCAGTGCAGGAACTGGTTTTGGGGTAGCAACAGCCTTGCCTGGGTTGGGAATGGAGAGGCGAGCCCTGCTCCGTGCAGCGGCTGAGCTGGATCCCCCTGCCTGCCCTATCCTTCCTGGTGCTTCCCTCCCTCATGTTTGTGGGGATCCCATTAGTGGGGACAGAATGGAGTCCCTTGTCCTGCTTGTCCCTGCCCAGGAGCCCTTCCAGTGGGTGGGCTGTCACTGCCACGACCCCAGCCCTGCCCGCAGCTCTGTGTGGCTGCTCACCCTCTCCCTGTCTGCTCCCCAGGATCTCTCTGCGGACCTGCTCTCCCTGCTGGAGGCTCTGTTCCCAGCACAGCCCCGGCACTGACCCGGGTGAGTCCCCGGGCCTGGAGCACCCCTGATGCCCGTCTGGAGCCCTGCAGCTTGGGGACACGCTGGCCCTTGGGACAGCTGCAGGAACCAGCTGCCCCGTGGGAGCCTGGAGCCGTGCTGGACGCGCCGGGTGGCGGCGGCTGGATGTGAATAAACCCTTGTGCCCTCTCTGAGTGTCCGTGTGGCTGTTCCCAGGAGCTGGGCACGGAATGGGGTTTGGCATGCCTGGGCTCTCCTCGCTGGGCTGCAGGGCTGGGGCTGAGGGGCAGCCAGGCACCAGCTGGGAGAGCAACCTGGGGGAGTATCAAGAGAGATGCTCCCCTTGCCCTGGGCCTGACCCCCGGTCAGGAAGGGCTGAGGAGCCCCAGCAGCCTCCAGATCCAGCCTTCCCCTGGCAGTTCTGGGCCTGTGGGAGCTCCCAAGGCAGAGTGAGATGGGAAGATTTGGGAGTCCAGCTCGGTGTGGGGATGGGCCTGAGCCCAAGGGCTGGAGACCCTGCCAGGAGCTGGTGATGGGGACCCTATACCCCCAGCCCCCTTGGTGGCTCCCTGAAGTCTGGGGTCCCCATTAGCAGGAGGGTGTTGGGACCTGGCAGCCATGTGCTAATGTGTCAGGGGAGTGTCCTCCCAGCTCTGGGGTCTGGAGTAAAGGGCGGGGGGTTAATGAACCCCATGGAGTGTGAAAGGGCTCTCTAATGAGGTTAATATCCTCTGCTGGGTCCGAGGAAGGGCGTGACAGAACGGGAGACAAGCCTTTGAGATGCAAAGCAGCCCCCTGGCCTGCCGTCTCCGGCAGCAGTTCTCTCCAGTCAGGGCTGAAGGGACCTGGGCACGTGCTGCAGCCGTGGGGACATTGCCATGGGGATGGCCACAGTCTGGGGGAGCAGCTGGCAGTGGCAGGGCTGGGAGGAGGGACCTCTGGGTCTCTGAGCCCCCCAAATGCTGCACCTCAATGCAAGGAGCCCTCGTGTGCTCTGATACCTGGCCGTGGCAGCAGCAGTGCCAGACCTGGGGGGCACCAGCAGCACCCCCTGGGCAGGGGGCTCCCTGCCACAGATGCGGGGCACATCCCACTGTCCATTCCTGTGTGTGAGCCCCACGCACGCTTACGTGTGTGTCCGTGTGCTGTGGGTGGCAGGGGAAGGACCGTGCTGTTCCGAGCTGCTGGCTGCGTCAAGGACCATTCAGAGCTGCCAAGGGCGCCCACGCCACAGCAGCTGCACAGCAGGTGCTGCCTCTCTGCAGTACCTGCCCCGGTACCTGCCCTGCTCCCCCTCGTGCCCCCGAGCAGATGCAGGAGCCCTGAGCACAGAGCCTCGGCACTGTGTGAGCATCAGCCCTGCCATGGCCTGGCTGGGGAATGCCAGGCAGGACACCCTGGATGCAGGTGAGGAGGGGGGAATGGGGTGTCTGGTGCTCCGGGTGTCATTGTTGGGCTGGGTGGGGTCACCTTCCCGGGCAGGATCATGAGGGGTGCTCTGTGCACGGAGGGGCACAGCAGCAATGGCCTGAGGTGGGCGGTGTTTGGGTCAGCTGCCATTGTCTTCCTCTGCCCTGCTTGGTGCGGGGACCCCCGTAGTTCTGGGGCATGGAGGGGCTTTGGGGGCTGCTGGAGGCCCAGGGGTAGCAGCAGGATGCAGCGAGCAGGCAAGGATGGAACACAGGGAAGCGAGCTCAGAAACGCGATGTCGGCACTGTGGCCCTGGGCAGGGGGCTCAGGGGGCTCTAGGGGACAGGACCCACAGTGCTGAGTGTGGCCTGCCCCACCCAGAGCCCCCACCTCAGGGCTGCCGCTGCCCCTCTGCCTGTTGTGGCAGGTGGGGACCATCCCGACCCCGGCCCTGCAGTGGGAAACACCAGCGCGGAGCCCCCCGGCACGACCCCCCCCGAGTGGGGCTGCGCCTGGAGCCCCCCCGAGGAGAGGGGCGAGGAGCCCCTGCGGCTGCCCACCTTCTCCCCGGCCGCCCAGGTGCGCGTGGCCGTCACCTTCGCCCTGTTCGCCCTCTCGGCCGGCTGCAACCTGGCGGTGCTGCGGGCGGTGGGGGGCCGGGGCAGCGGCCGGCGCCCCCACATCCGCCTGCTGCTGCGGCACCTGGCCGCCGCCGACCTGCTGCTCACCGTGGTGGTGATGCCGCTGGACGCCGTCTGGAACATCACGCTGCAGTGGCGGGCGGGCGACCTGGCCTGCCGCCTGCTCATGTACCTGCGCCTGCTGGCCATGTACGCCTCGGCCTTCGTCACTGTGGTCATCAGCCTGGACCGGCAGGCCGCCATCCTGCGCCCGCTGGCCATCGCCCGCGCCCGCGCCCGCAACCGCGCCATGCTGCACGCGGCCTGGCTGCTCAGCGCGGGGCTGGCCGTGCCACAGGTACCAGCCGGGCCCCTCTGGTGACAGACCCCACCCAGCCGGAGACTGGAGCACCGTGCGGGCTCGCTGGCAGGGCTGGTGTGACCCGCAGGGTGGGCACGGAGAGCTGGCAGCAGAGTGGCTGTGGCAGTGACCCCCCTCGCCCAGCTCTGCCCACTGCCGGGGCTGCCCCACGCCCCTGTCGGTGCGGAGCAGAGCCACTGCAGGGGGGTAACCCACCCCCCAGGCTGGCTCTGTCCCTGTGGGTCTGGGGGTCCCTGCTTTGGCCTCCAGTGCCCTCCCTGGCTCGGGAGGTGCAAACCCCCATCACCCCCATCCCACCTCTCTTGTCTGCAGCTGTTCGTGTTCCACACCATCACCCTGAGCCCCCCGCACAACTTCACCCAGTGCACCACGCGCGGCAGCTTCCCCCGGGCCTGGCACGAGACCCTCTACAACATGGTGGGCTTTGCCTGCCTCTTCCTGCTGCCTCTGCTCATCATGGTCTGCTGCTACGCCCGCATCCTGCTGGAGATCTCCCGCCGCATGGGCTCGGGCCTCTGTGAGTGCCCACGGGATGCAGCCCCTGCCCAGGGCAAGTCCTTCTGGAGCTCTGTAGGGGCCCCCCAGCCTTCCCCCAGGGCACGGGGTCCCTGTCCCAGCCCCGTTTCCCCTCCAGTCTCCTCGCAGGACGCGTCGCTGCGGTGCTCCAGGAACAACATCCCGCGGGCCCGGCTGCGGATGCTGCGGATGAGCCTGGTCATCGTCTCCTCCTTCATCCTCTGCTGGACCCCCTACTACCTGCTGGGGCTCTGGCACTGGTTCTGCCCCCGTGCCATGGAGAAGAGGATCTCGCCGGCCCTCACCCACATTCTCTTCATCTTTGGCCTGTTCAACGCGTGCCTGGACCCCATCACCTACGGGCTCTTCACCATCCCCCTCCGGGGGGGCTGGGGGTGCCCTTGCAGGCACGGCCCCCTGGCCCAGCCCCCCTCCCCAGCCACCGGCTCCTTCCGCTGCTCAGCCTCCTCCCTGCCGCCCCAGCGGGGAGCCCAGGGGCTGCGCAGGTCCCGAGGGGCTGCCAGGGACCCCTCCTGCCACAGCAGCTCCCTGTGACACCAGCTGGGTGCTCAGGGCAGGGGGGGCTGGCAGCAGGATGACCAGGTCAGCAGAGGTGCGTGGGGATGGGGTCACTGCTGCTCTCCCTGCACCCCAAAGTGCCTCTGTGGGCTGGGGGCTGGTGGGGGTGCCCCCCTCCCCTCTCCCTTCTCTGTGCCCTGAACAGCAATAAAGTGTCCAATGGCCATCTCTTGTCCCTCCCGTGTCCCCCAGCTGGGAGCTGAGCTGGTGTCCCCAGAGCCAGCACCCTGACCCACGGGGGTCACAGCTGCCCCTGTCCCCACCGTGGGTGGCTCAAGGGTCCCCAGGCAGGGGAAGATTCCAGACCATCCCGGCCTGGCCAGGACTGGGTGCTTCCCTCCCTGTTCATCCCCACAGCGGGTGCAGGGCTGGTCCCTGCCAGGGCTGGTGGCAGTCCCAGGGTGCTGCTGCTGTGGGCTGTGCTCCAAACAGGAGCTCCTGGCTCGGGCCCAAGGCTGTTGGGAGGCACACAGGGCCAGCTCTCCCACCCGCAATGCTGCCCCAAGGCCAGCGCTGCCGGCAGAGCCAGCACGGCTGCTCGGGCCCCCAGAGGTGGGCGAGGGCTGAGGCTGCCTGGGCCCCTCACTGCCCCCAGCACCAGCAGTACTGCCAGAGGCAGGGACAGTCCAGGAGAACTGCCCTGGCATCCCCCCGGCCTCAGGGAAGGGACCCCAGGGCTGGGCTCTGCCCGGGGGCCCCCACTGCGCAGTGGGAACCCCATGCCAACCCCTGAGAGTGCAGCCTCACACTGGGGCACAGACAGGGCTGTGCTCCTGCTGAGGGGGCTCTGGCTCCAGCCTCTGCTCCTGCGCCAGGAGCAAGCTCAGCTGGTGTGGGCAGGGGGCAAGGCAGGAGGGCAGGCAGAAGCTGTGCCCAATAACGGCAGTGCCAGCCATGCTTGCAGGGATTTATTTGAAAGTGGCAAAGGAAAAGTCTAGCGGAGTTGCTTCAGCTCTGAAAAATGGTCTCACACCTGCTTGAGGGCTGGAGGGCCAGCACACCAGTCACTCCAGGCGTCTTGTGGGGCTCCAGGGAATGAGGGGCTGCAGTCCCAGGTGTTGTGAGTCCTCCGTGCGTCTGGGGCAGGGATGGGGCTTCCTTGGAGCGTGTCCACAGGGTGGGGGGAATGTGTGAGGGGGCTGACTCTCAGGCAAGGACTCGTGTGAGTATGAAAATACCACCTGGTACGGGCACACCACCTGCTGCCAGCCTGAGAATTGCTGTGAGGGAAGGAGCTGGCAGAGCCAGAGCACCACCCAGCAAAAAGTCGTCCCTCGTTGGATGCTGCTGTTGCTGTGGGCTCGCTGCTGGGAGCACCCTGCCCACCACAGGACAGCTGGGGTGCAGACAGAGACCCCCAGCCCACGGGCAGCTCTCCTCGGGCTGAGGGCACTGGGTGGGTGCCGGGTGGGCAGCGCTGCCCCTGCCCTTGGTGGCTGCACAGGGCTTCAGGGGCAGCGAGTGGTCATGTCCCAGTCACGTCCCAGTCATGTCCCAGTCACGAGGGTG